CCCCCACCGAGCTTCAGTAACACTCTCCACAATCTCCCTCTTTCTTCATACATCTCCAGAGCCACTTACCTTGGATAGCAATATTTATCAAAATCAAGGATCTAATCCCCAAATCCCCGTTCTCCGTTGGTTGTTTCACCTCGTCCAATTTAACTAACTGATACTTTCTTCTCCCTTCTTCATCACCCTACAAAAATATGCATTGAATGGCTTCCAATCTTTTTACCACGTTTAGGGGGATAGTCAAAGCAAAAATTAAGTAAATAGGAAGGCTAAGAAGTGTGCTCCAGATGAGAGTTAGCCTTCCACCTTTAGATAAGAAAGTTCTCTTCCATCTTTATGGAAGAGCATATTATTGAAGAGACAGTGTGTGCAAGAATGTACTAAATGGAAGGTGGGGAGAGAAGACAAGGTTCTGTTTTGGCAGGATGATTGCATTGGAAGGAGTTATCTTATAAATCAATTTCTGTAGATTTTCACCATAGCACAAATGAAGAATATGTTTGTGGATGAGGTTTATGGGGGATATAACGGTAGAAGGGAGCACTCCGTGAATGTGACAAGGAACCTCAACGACTGGGACAGAAAAGGATATGAAGCTCTACTCCAACTTCTAGCTACTGTTTAATTGAATGATAATACTAATCAACTTGTTTAGGAACTTGAAGACAAATGGGTTTTCATAGTTAAATTGTTTTCTAAGCACTTGATTAGTAAATATTGAAGGAGGGAGCGATGAGGTTCCCAGCCAATCATATTTGGAATGTGAATGCTGCCTAAATTTCTTTCTTTACTTGGGAGATGACTAGGGAATGTATTTTGACAATAGACAAGTTGATGAGAAGAGGGAGGACCATGGTGAAAGGGTATTATCTTTGCAAAAGTGTTGTTTAGTCATGCAACCATATTCTTCTCTAGTATCCGGTGGCATATAATCTTTGGACCATGGTCTATAGTTTGTTAGAGATTCATTGGGTTATTGTGTGATCGTTGAAAAATGAGATTTAGATATGGAAGATGATTTGCAAAAAGAAAAAATTTGCAAAACTTATTCCATTAACTTTTCTTTTGTTGATTTGAAAAGAGAAAAACAACAAAATTTTTAAGGGTCGAAGAGGAGTTATATAAAATTAAGAATAGATGGTTTCATTATTTAGGTATTTGATCTTGGACTATGATTTATATAAAATGAAAGATTTTGGAAATATTATTAATATGCTAACAGATTTGTAAATATTTTGTAAATGGGTGACACTTCCTTGGTGTTGTTGATTTAATATATGTCGTATTTTTTTATTTAAATAAAAACTATTTCTTAATTTAATTCTATTTAGGAAAGACTACTTAAAAAAAAATTAAAAATAGCTTTGTAATTTTACTTATTGGAGTTCCTTATTCATATGTAAATAATTTGTACATGAGTTGGCACCCTCTGAGCACTTGTGAATCAATAACTAATATACTTTTTATTTCAAATAAAAAATAAAAAAAAAAATCACTTATTGGAGCATTTAAGTATTCAATTAAATACTTTGAGAGCTTCTCAATTTTTGTTTGTATCATGCAATCAAACTCTTAAATATGATGCTTAAAACTTATTAAATGTGACGTCTAAAAAACCTTAGGTGTGATGTTTAGGTTTTTTATTCTCAATTCCTAATTGGACAAATCAACCCTATCTATTTGATATCCAAATAAAGGGATAAATAGCAACTGAAAATCTTAAATCACAAACATTCACAAGTTAGTCACCAGCAATAGCCACTTTATAAATAAGCAAAAACAAGAATGCTGCTAAGGTGAAAAGTACCTTTGCTGACCTGCCTCCACCATTCATCAATTTGCTTCCCTTTTTGAAGTTGTTCATTATTCAAGTATTCTCTAGTTGATGTGTTCAAAGACCAAATCCTCAAGTTCTGGCAACTGCTTATAAAATCAAGTAAGATGCTCTGAGGATTATTAGGATCAGAATTTCTATCTTCTCTATGAAAGGATAGTATCTTTCTGGTTGTCTCGACCTGTAAATGGAATCAAACACTTCAATTGGAGCACGCTTCATTACATAACTTGCCAAAGAGTTAAGCTACTTACGAAATTTCACCAAATCATTGAAGATATATATTTCCTAATGAAACTGTAAGCTAATGGCCCTAGAGAATGGATTCAACAAACAGAAAATGCCTTCAGCAGGACTACATATAATTTAACAAATGGTGCTGTCTAAAGGAAAAAGAAATGAAAGAAAGCTACATTGAGAGGAAGAGGCAACAATTTCCTATATCTCAAAAACAACCTTTCTGGCATCAGAGTTCAAAGCACTCATCACAAGCTCAACCCGAATGATCTGTGCAAGCAGCCAAGTCACATGATTCGTTCGAAGAATCTGGTGCTCACTCTCTGTAAGGCGCAAAACTAGCTTGTCCACAAAATCAACAAAATCAATACACCCACTTTTCATAAGGAAAAAAAATATATCTGAGAAGACAAGCCACTCCTGCCAGCAATTAACTTCTGCAATAAAAGATAATTGTGAGACATTCACTTACTAATATATCACCACCATCTGACACTCACCCATAATCATACAGAGATAGCCACAATGAAAACAATCAAAAAGAAAAAAAGGAAGCAATGTAAAGAAGTGCTCATGTTGTTCAAACACAAAAGGGGCTTCATAGCTAACAGGATGACTACGCTCTATGACTTTTCTGTGATTTATATATTTATATATGTAAGTGTCGTATTCTATAGCACTGCATTTAATTTCTAGGTGCAAAAACAGTATAGCAGTATGCCTAGACACCTTTCAAAATGATAAAGACTAACAAAGGTCTTACAGCATCAAAAAAGATCAATTTAACAGAGAGAAAACAGACAAAAAAGCCTGTGAAATAAAATAATGATAATTCAGTAAATTTTAAAATCAGACTAAACAAATAAAAATAGGGAAGAGATCATTGCCTGAATTTGTTAACTTTAATAGTTCAACAATTCTATCAATTGTTGCCTCACATATCATATCAGAAGAGAAAACAGCACCAGGGGTAGGCCCTTGGGCAGGATTCCTATAGCAAGGAGCCACAAGAAGGACACGCTTCCACCAGTCTGGTGATGGAGTAGTGCGAATAGCATGCCTTATACAACGCAAAGCTCTCTCCCAATCCAAACTCCCCTTATGAATCGAAGTTGCAAGGTCCTAAACCAATCAAAACAAACAGTATAACAGACTGCAGAGAATCCTAATGATGAATGCACGGAAACATCTAAAGAGGCACAAGCAGGAGACACCAAGGAAAAACAATTTCCGAACACCCAAGGATGACATTAATTTCATGCATAAAGAATGCTTCATTGGAAGACAAACCAAAAACAGAGAAACTGGCCTTCCATTATCAGAAAATTATGAGCTCCATTGGACCAATCAGCCACGCAGGCAATAAACTACCATGGAGCTATATTTCCAGCATTCTGCAACTCATTTGACTGATAAATTTTTTCGATAAGAAAAGAAATATTATTAGGCAGAGAGAAAGCAAACACCAAAAGGGAAGATAAAGTATCCTTCTAAGAAACAGAGAAAATATCAAGAGGAAAAAAAAAAAAGAAGAATGATGTTGGGTAGATTGTCATCAATTTGTGTACATATGAATTTGGGAAAAAACCATGGAGTTCTCAGTATCACGCCTAAGATTTCATTGAATCACATAATTAAGTATTAAGAAATTCACAAAAAAAAATTAGCAACTAAATGATGACCTTAGAGGATATTATAAAGATATTTATAGAGTTTGAAATAATCCTTTCCCATATACATAACGTATTCAATACTAATATGATTAGAAATACTACTCCTAATAAAGACAGGAAAACAAAACATGAACAAACTGATAAACGTAAAAATAAATTAAATAGTATAATTTTTGAGATAATAAGTTACTACTTGATGTATGACAAAACTAGGGTTAATTTGTCTACTTGGGGATAAGAACCTAAATATTACATCTAAGATCTTTTTAAACATCATATTTAAGAAGTCTTAAGCATTAAAACAAAACATGAACAAACTAAGAAATGTAAAAACAAATTAAATAGTATAATTTTTTAACAGTAAGTTACTACTTGATGTATGACAAACTAGCTTAATTTATCGACTTGGGGATAAGAACCTAAACGTTACATCTAGGGTTTCTTAAACATAATACCTAACAAGTCTTAAGTATTACATTTAAGAATTTGATTGCATCATATAACTAAAAAATTGAGAAACTCTCAACATATATATTTCAATTCTTGCATAAAACAACAAGAATAACAAGATGTGTAATATGCACTTGCATAAAACTACTTCCTTCCAGCCGTCAAAAAACTACAACAACGTATATGCATTTTAATTCTTGAAAGAAAGATCTGCCATGTTTTTAGTCTAGTGATTGATAAAATACCATCTTTATCTAAGTTATTAGCACATAAAACATTATTTATAATTCACATATTCCAATTTATATCATCTCAGGAATGAAGCAAAATACCGACAGGTTTAAATGAAAGAAATATAATTTCTTTTAAGATTAAGAAATGTTATTACCTCTCCATGTAAAGGTTCTCCAAGCACACTAGGATATGTAATTGGGGAATAACGTAAGTTTGCAACAGCTTCTACTGAAATATTAGGAGTTGTTTGAGATAAAATCCGATGAGTCCCAAATGTTGGGCAGTGAAGATGTTGATCCAACATTTGCATGTGCATGGCCATCATATCTCTTCTCCGATGAATCTCCAGGATAAGTGTAAATAAGGCTTCATCATCTGGTATATTCTCTATAAGCTGCAAGCCACTGCGCAGTAATTCATAAAAGGGAACTCTGCATTTGTCCTCTTCTACCAGCAGCCAAATGACATCCAAACAACTGTGCAGCCATTCGATGAGAGCTTTGTCAGGCCTCCAGGATTTTCCATCAGATTCATCAATACCTTGTTGTCTCTGATCCCAATTAACCAGCCAATTTAGCATATGGTAGAAAATTTCAGAATGGGTAAATGGTTTCAAATTAAATTCAAGCCCTGTCAAGATAATCTTGCAGCATAGCTGACGTAGACTGCTTATAACATTGTCTTTTATAGAAGAATTGACCCTTGATGTAGACAGTTGAGAATTGCTGGAAACATCAGATGATTTGACAGGGGACATAGCAGAACAAGGAGATGCTTCAATTGTTGATTGGGCAGGAGATCCAATAGCATGAATTGAAGGCAATGGAGATGTCGGATTTGACGACTGAAAATTAGATGGATTAGTGATAGCACTTGTAGACGGGAGTACTCCAGACTGTGATAAACTTGTAGATGGAACAGCTGATACTGCTTGAGGGCCCTGACTTACTGACATTTCTGCAGAAGAAACTGAAGAGAGAAGAGATGGCAAAAATGTATCCCAGTTAATGTAACCTATATTGCACAAGCTCCGTAAAGCAAAAAGAAGAAAATCTGCCCTGGGTGCATGACCACAACACTGCACAACCAGAGATATAAGAACAGATTCTGTTACAGCACGCAATTGATCTTGGTCCTGAAAGAACACAGAAATAATATCTAACTCAGTAGATGAAACACACCATAGGCAACACAAGAAATAAAGATGTACAATGATTAAATAAATTGATTTCTTAAACTTACAGTGAATTGGCTCTGAAGTTGCTCAAAATCTAAAAGGAACTGTTCATTTCGAGGAGGAAGTTCTCTGTTAAGAGCAAGTATTCGCTTTTGCGTCTTATTCCTGTAGATAGGCTATATCATACATACATAAAGCAACGATAGATTTCTTTTCATCAAAATACAAAGATTAGCAAGCCCTTAATCAGAAACTACACTGCAGCAATTACAAGTCCGCTACGATGCAAGCTGTCACATCAAACTGCAGCAACTACAAAGATAATTTACTTTGACATAGATTGCCATGTCTCAACAGTCAGCATAGAGAAGTGTGCCATGAGAATTAGTAGGTAGGGAGGTTCAAATAGACCTAATGATGCAATATCATTAACTATGTGGTAATCTCAACGGTGTAATCTTACAAAATGTTAGACCCAATTTCTCGATGCATAATAGTTTCAATATCTTCTGTAGTCACATCATCAGCTTTGTTTTCTCTCCAGGTTTTCTATTAATTCGAATCCGCAACCAGCTAACCATGTTGACTGACAAACTTGTGTTTAGAAGCTGTAGTTGATAATAAGACTAGATAAAAAGCAATCATAGCTTGGCAAGAAACTTTCTTGAAGATCTACACTATCAGAGTCTGATACCAGTTATATCACCAACATAAGGAGTGCGGAAAGATAAAGAAAGGAAAATGCGGAACAAGGAATTATAATGGAACTTCCCAATGCCTCATGGACACAGCTCTCCACTCTTAAATCCACGTAAAGTTTAAAAAAGAGAACACACACGTACGAGAATACTGAGTATGCTACCCCAGAAGCACTAAACAATTTTTTCTACAAAACATAAAATGCGTTTTGTTACATGCAAGAAGCTCCTATGCTTCTTTTTTCTTTTATAGGACATTGTGGAGGTAAGAGTGAATTACGTACTCTTGGTATATGCTTCCTTGGTGTAACTAACAACTGGAATTTTGATGTGAAGAGTATAACAAGTAGAACTAATCTGATTTCCAGTACATTCTATAGGCATTGACATTCCTTAGCTGGTAACTGGAAAAGTTTCCTGCTGACATCATCGATATCATGAAAACAAACATCACAAATAATCCTTTGCATAGCCCTAAATTTTTTGCTAAACAAATTTATCTGTAAACTGAGTTCAGTTCGCTTACATTTAGAGTAGAAATCAAAATCAAACCATAAGTACATTGATCTAAAGAAACAAACACCACAAGCAGAAACCAGCCAGACTGCCAGATTGTATAAATTAAATTAATACAGAACCATTACATGTGCTTTTAGGTCTAAGAGTCAGTTTAGCCTAGTCTCGAAAAACGCCAAAAATCAAACAGAAATTAAATTTTCTTTTACATTTTTTTACTGAAATAGACCAACTAAACTGAGTATAGCAACTGGTTGGGTCGGTTCGGCAGTCTAAAATTGCATTGCAGCCAGAATCATAAACCTCCGGCAACTAAGCACCATATCAACAACCAAGACAGACCATAACAATCTTATAACTACACGACAGACACTCTACATAGTTTATAAAGAAGAGTTACTAACGGCGGTTCTCGGAGGGAATCGTCGGACTTTTGGCGCCCACTTCTCTGGAAAACAACATAGAGATAATTCAATATAACTCGGTAGAATATGAGGAGAAAAAATCAAGAAAAAAAAATCCCATAAAATAGAGAAGGTGATAGATTACGCCTAAATAGAGATTGAAGAGCTCGACAATGGCGGCTCGCGCCGGGTGGAACTGGTAGGTCCGAGAAGAAACCGTTGCAGCTGTAGTTGCGGCTCCTGATCTCTGCGTTTGATCCATTTTTCTGGATTCTCCACTCTTCAGTTCATCTTGAGCGGAGATTAATTTTATGAATGCCCGTCCCAGTTCGAAAAATCAGGGGAAGAGAAAATCGTCACTAATCAGCGTTGTCGAGCTATTCATCAAACAAAGAAATTTGGTTGAACTTCAAGACCGGTGAACGGGCCGGGTCGTCGGGTCCATACAAAATATCGAGTTACAAACAGTAGATTTCATTTAAAAAAAAGTTATGTGAAAAATATATTTATAACAAAAATAAAAATATGTTTTTAATTACTAAATTAATTTTATATGTTTAATGCTTATTATAATTTAAATTTTAGTTTATTTTTTACAATTTAGTTTCAATATTTTTATTTTTTAAATATTAATTTTCTTAATTTTAAATAAAAAATAACAATAATTTAAGTCTCATTGGTTTGAGAGGAAAAAAAAAAGCATGTTTGGATTTACTCTCTCACTATTGCAAGGCTAAATTTTTACTCTATCTATTTGGTATATTTAGTTACATTTACTATTTTATTTTTCCCTCACTAACATTAAATATTTTTATTTTTCTTTAGTTAAGCTTAATATATTTCTATTATCCTCATTGATTTTTTATTTTATTTCCACTCTTCACAGAGTCTTGCAATATTTTTTTATGATTTCCAGATTTTATATTTATAAATTTTAATCGGCACTGTCACAACTTCATTCAATATTTTTTTTTTATTTTTTTTTTTAATAAAACTTGGTAAAAATAATTTCTCTCCCCGACCTCATTTTTTGCTACATACCTATTTTATTCACTGTTTAATATATTTAATCTCTATAAAATGTAATTATAAAAGGCTGTTAATCCAAATCAAAGACCGGATTTTACATACGTTAAATATTAAATTGTAAAGTTTAGGAATTTATGATGCATGTGTTTAATTGTCTCTCGAGGCCGCGTGGATTTCCCGTTTCAAACAAATAATAAAACAGAAAATATAACAAAAACCTGTCGGGAATATGACCGTTTGGAAACTGTACGGAGTGACACGTCAGCAATTACACTGTAAAAAAAAAACTCCCTCCTCGTAGACCGTGACTCTACACCTGACTCGAAAAACCACACCACAAGTTATAATCCCTTTTTAATTTTATTTATTTAAGGCGACTGATGTCTTGCCAACAACAATTTACTGGTGGTGTGTGGTGGGCCTCATTTGGTACGATACACTGCATGTCATATCATCCGTCCGATCTCTCTGTAGGCTTGATCATCAGCTGCAGAAAACAACAAACTCAAAACCCATTAAAAAATCCCACCATCTTCTTCTTTATTACCAGCAAAAACCTCAGTTTGTTTTTATTCTTTTTTTTTTTTTTTTGGGTTTAAAAGACCACTGTTGATCTTCCTTTTAAGTTTTTAACTACTAAAAACGCACCCTTTCGTTTTAGCTTCAGTTCATTTCACGCTCGCTTTCTCTATATTTACTCGCCGTCTTTGTTGCACGCAGACACAAGCCTTAAAAGGAGCTCCCTTTTCTATCCCTCTGTCTGATTTTTGTTTTTCTTGAGCTCCTCCTTTTCTTTTCTCGCTTTTTCAGTCGCTCTTAAGCTCCTTTTTCTGGGTTTCTTGCGAGATTTCGTGGCCTTGTTTGTAGTTTTTGAAATATTTGAGTTTTCTTTTTTTATTTACTGTGAAGATTCAATGGCTATGATTCTTCTTCTCTTCCTCTTGGCAGTCTCTTCTGTTTCTGGCGACAAAGGTAAGGTTCTCTTGCCCATTGCTTACTTCTTCCGTTTCTATTTGTGGGTTTCTTTTGTGGGTTTTCTTTCTCTCACTTGGTAGTAGCCTGGCACTTTGTGAATTTGCTGAAACTGGAATAATCGTTTTGATTAATCTGCACTTGTTTTCAAATTTTGAGCTTATGAATCTCTGGTAAACCTTTCGGTTTCATTATAAAGTTGGTTTCAGTGTGTGCATTCGTGGTTTTTTCCATATGGGTTAGACTCTGTGAATGGTAAGCATTAAGCAATCTTGATTAATCAGGGTTTACTTTATAACTCACCAGTAGAATTTCTTGAAAGAAATTAGTTTATTCATAACATTTTCATGTTAATTTATTTTGTCAAATCCATCATTACATTTCCTTCATTGTCATTAACAGATTTTTGAAGATCGACATTATCGGATTTATTTGTTTTTGAAAAAGTGACATTATTAGATCCTTATAAAGGCTTAAGCTTGTTATTATATTTGGTTAGCTTTTAATATAATCTTTTAATTAAGAAAACAGAGAGGTATTTGGTTTCAACTTGAAATCTTGCTCTACTTTGTATCATGATTCTTTCGGCAGATATACAGATAATGATGGGTGGAGAGAGAGAGAGAGAGAGAGAGCAATGTTCAAAGTGTTTTACTTTTGGTTATTTACTCTGTTTCTGTCAAAGTAGAAGCCTCTGTAGAAAACTCTTTCCCTTTAAATTTTGAAAATCTATGGATTCTTTCTCTTTTCTCTTCCTTTAGGGGAATCTAGGCCACATTGCGTCCCACCTCATTTGTCAGTCCTTTACCTGTTTGGAGACGATAGAATTTGTTGTAGGACAAAAATACCCTTAGCTTCAGGATCTGAAAGTGTTCATCCTGAAAACCTATGCTTCAAAGGGTATTGGTGGCATTTCTCTAACCAGCATTACATGTTCTATAGTTTGTCTGGTATATGCCAGGGCCCATTACCAAACTCAGCTATTTTGTTAACTGAGTTGTCCTAATTCACCATCATGAAGATTGATCCTACAGGGAAATCTAGTGAGTGTAACCTATCAAGTTATAAGGCAATCATTATGAACCCTCCTTTAACTTTTTATGTAATAATTCTAAGAATGATTATGGTGTTTGATGATTGAAAGTATTTTAGATAATAACATTTAGGGAAAATGTGGTCATCTATATACAGATACCTTAAAAAATGAAGAAGTTTTAGGACAAAAATGCTATTCGTATCATGTGCTGTTATCAACATGTGGCTACTTCTCATTTTGGAAGTGTAATTTTGTTTCTATTATTATAAGCGTATCTCTCATCTCATAAATGATGATGAAATCTGATAATGACTTTAAGATCTGCCATGAAAGAATGTTCAAGCAGTGAGTGAAAACTGACTAGCAAATGAAACCCACCTAAAGGACTATATAGGTCCCAAGGTACAGCTAAAGGATTTTCAACTCTTTACTCATTCTAAGTTATGAAGTTAGACATCTATAGTATCTTATCTGCAGGGACCACTGGAGTCCATGCTCTTCAAATATCATTTTGCAAGACTAGTTTCCTGATGATGACTGATGAGACTCTTACTGTCTGTTTGTCCCTTTCTCTTTTGTTAGCAGTAGCCATTGGCTGCATATGTTCATTGCAGCTCTCTCATTGTAAGTTTGTGTATATCTTTGATGGCTACATCTTAAAAAAAGTCCACACCCATTTAAGTGGTTCTTTGATCAGAAATCTGCAGAATTGGTTTTTTATGGTATCTAAGATTTCCTTGATGTCTCTAATTTCCTGATTGCATGTGTAATCTAATACTGTTTACTTGTTCCACCTATGGTATGTTTGGAATAGGTGAACTAGTTTTGCAGAATTTATTTAGAAATTTATACTTCGTGCAAGAAAGGTAAAAACAATACCAGAAGATAGGAAATTCATTCCAAATAAATCCTCGCAAAGTTTAAACAATACTCTTCAGATTTCATGTAAATGGTGGAATTTGAAATGTATTGTTATAGTTCTACTTAAAGTTTATTTGAAGCCTCTCGTAGTTGGAAATTCATTCCAAATAAATCCTAGCAAAGTTTAAACAATACTCTTCAGATTTCATGTAAATGGTGGAATTTGAAATGTATTGTTATAGTTCTACTTAAAGTTTATTTGAAGCTTCTCGTAGTTGAACTGCTTATATATTTTTAAATGAATTTCACGATAATAGTTTATTTATTCCATAACATTTCCCTAGTTGTGCAATTTGGCATTCTTATCAGTTGTAAACAGTTAATCCACGGGAGGGGTGTGTGGGCTCTTAATGCATTTCACTGTACATACATTGTTGAGAGCGGATGTTACCTCTTTCTCTAAGGCTTAATGTGGTCTGGTTGGGATATATGGCTGCTGAAGCCAACAATATGTGATTTCTAATTAGGAAATTTGATTAATACAGGAATGGGAAATTATTTGATTTATTACCCCCATGTCTCAACCAACATTGTTCCATGTTGTTTGGTAGTTGGGGGATGCCTGTTACTGTTTGTATTCGGTAAAGATGGTTTATCTAGGCAAGGATTTACTGGCATGTGCATGGTATTTGACATTTCGTGCCATAATGTAAATGATAATCATGGACAGCCTGCTTATCTAAACCATTGCCTTTGGGTTACTATTTGCAGATGCCTTTATTGGTGTAAACATTGGCACAGACCTCTCCAACATGCCTAGCCCCACTCAAGTTGTCGCTCTTCTCAAGGCTCAGAATATCCAACATGTTAGGCTCTATGATACTGATCGAGCAATGCTCATAGCACTTGCTAACACGGGTATTCAAGTGACAGTCTCTGTTCCCAATGACCAGCTCCTTGGCATTGGTCAGTCTAATGCCACAGCAGCCAACTGGGTTGCACGGAATGTCATTGCCCATGTCCCTGCCACCAACATTACTGCTATAGCTGTTGGATCCGAAGTTCTAACAACTCTTTCAAATGCTGCTCCAGTCCTAGTTTCTGCACTAAAGTTCATCCAGTCTGCCCTTGTTGCCTCTAATCTTGATCGTCAAATCAAAGTTTCTACTCCACACTCTTCTTCCATTATCCTGGACTCATTCCCACCATCCCAAGCTTTCTTTAATCGTTCATGGGACCCAGTTATGGTTCCCTTGCTCAAGTTTTTGCAGTCAACAGGATCATATCTCATGCTTAATGTTTACCCATACTATGATTATATGCAATCAAATGGTATTATCCCATTGGACTATGCACTTTTCCGGCCCCTCCCTCCTAACAAGGAAGCTGTGGATGCTAACACACTCTTGCATTACACTAATGTCTTTGATGCTGTTGTTGATGCAGCATATTTTGCAATGTCCTACTTGAATTTCACCAACATTCCAATTGTCGTAACCGAGTCTGGCTGGCCTTCAAAAGGTGGTTCATCTGAACCACAGGCAACCCTTGACAATGCAAACACTTATAACAGTAACCTGATTAGACATGTGCTTAACAATACTGGGACTCCTAAACATCCTGGAATTGCAGTCAGTACTTATATCTATGAGCTCTACAATGAAGATTTGAGACCTGGGTCTGTTTCTGAGAAAAACTGGGGACTTTTCGATTCCAATGGTGTGCCAGTTTACACATTGCATTTGACAGGAGCAGGGACTGTGCTCGCAAATGACACTACAAACCAGACTTTCTGTGTTGCTAAGCAAGGTGCTGACCTGAAGATGTTGCAGGCAGCATTAGATTGGGCTTGTGGACCAGGGAAGGTGGATTGCTCACCTCTGTTACAAGGGCAACCATGCTATGAACCAGACAATGTCATTGCACATTCGACATATGCTTTCAATGCATATTATCAGAAGACAGCCAAGTCCTCTGGGACTTGTGATTTTAAAGGGGTGGCTACCATCACTACCACTGATCCAAGTATGCAACCAGAGTAAAATGATCTAGTAGTATTTTTAAAATGGGGAAAAGACGAATTTGCACATAAAATCTTGACAGGATTGGTTTCTATTTTCTTTTGCATGGCACGAGAGACTGGTAGGTCACTTCACATTGGACAAATAACAGGACTGATCATGTTCTAGGCGGGCAATTTAATTTTTGAGATATCACAATATCATGTTTGAGTTTTTGTCACTCATTTCTTTTTAGCTCAAATAAATGTGTTTTTTGTTGTTGATCTATAACGGTATCATAAATTCCCTTTTGTTTCATTGCCGCAGGCCATGGATCATGTATATTTCCGGGAAGGTATGTACCGATGTTTCTTAACATTTAATATCTGTTTATTCTTTTAAAAGAAGATATCTGTCTGTCTGGGTTGGTTTACTTATTTTTCTTACTCTACTCTCTATTGAGTAGATATTTTTTTCCCTGTTCCCCATTATTTACCTCCTCTCTTTGCTTCTCTTTTTCCAATTGCAGCGGTGGGAGAAATAGTACCCTCACAAACGGCACCTCCCTAGCTCCTTCAATTCAGTACTCAGCTGCCCTTCACAGTATTTACGGTGAGATTCATTCACAGGCTCTATGATTACAGGCATTCTGTTTATAGCTGCAGTTTTCTTATAAAATTGCAAGAACTCTTTTGACAAACATTGAAATCTTAAGAAAATTCGGCTTCTGTTTTGGGTAGAAAATGTCGCATACCCAGTTTTGTCCTTCTGCAGAGGAGTTAAAGAGGGTGAGAAAGTTTGATCGAACAGGCAGCAAGCAAGTTACAAGTAGTTGTAAGGTGAGTTGATCGGATTTTGAACTAAAAAATCCGTGGTGATTTATTTGGGATTTGATTATTGTTATTACTGTAACTATGTTGTTAAGATAAATTGGTTGTATTCTTTGAACTGGATATGCCATATGTCCAGGGTGATGTTTTAATTCAGTAAGTAGTTGTATAATTCTAAAATACAGAGAATCAGTCCTAAACTGAAAGCAATTAAAGCCATCCTAACCAAAGTTACTTATATCAAATATACACAAAAGGAAACCAGATCAGAAAATTCAAAACTCGAGATCATCACATAAACTTTGAATGAACTTGGCACGACAAACATCACAAATGAAGCCAGCAGAAGCAGAAGCAGAGTAGCCAAGACTGGTATGTGTTTTGCAATATGGCTTATTGCAAACATCACATTTAGGAAGCTGAAGCCAACAAGCCGAACACAAAACATCGCTACAGGCAGCTTCTTCTTCCTCCCCATATTCAACACACCCACCACACTCCTCACACCTTTGAATGCAAAAGCTGCATCCCCTGCACTCCCTCCTCTTACATGATTCTCTTGGGCAATCAAAAACCATCCTGACTTCCTCACACAGCCGGCAGACCTCAACATCAATAACCCGTAAACTTTGCCAGTGTCCAGGTGATTTTGGGTTTCTGTAAGTGTGGTAAAAGAGAAGAGGTTGCTTTAGCTGCAATTCAGTGTTGAGAGGGAGAAAGCTGCGAAGCGTTTGGAGATGGTGTTTGTTTATGTCGTAGATGCCATTTATTTGTAGGGTTGTCAGGCTGTGGGGATGATGATCTGAGAGTGTCTTTACAGCTCTTATGACTCCCTCTGGAGTTAACCTTGTGCATCCTGTTAAGCAAAGCTGAATAAAAAGCATGCCATTTCTTGCATAATTAGTACAAATTTCTAAGGGGGACTTCTTATTTTTGCTGAATAATCAAAATATATCAGACTTTTTGAACTCTTTCTGCATGCATGTAAGACAAAGTTATTGAACTTTTTTTTTTCCAGGTTGATTACTGGAATTAAAAATCATGAGCTAGGCCCTTATTTTGATGAAAAGAATAGTGTTAAACATAAATAGTGTTAATTTCCTGATCATGCAAATCATCTTCATAATTGTTTATTAGAATAGAGAAATAAATAACAGGAGAAAATAAAAAGAAAGTCAAAAGAAGGGGAGTAAAGCACTGTTCTTCAAGATAGGATGCAATTTCCACCGAGAAAATCTTATCCAATTAATCCCATCCCCAAATAAATTCAAAAACCCTTTGATATTATATACCGATAAGATTCTTTAATGGATTCGCAAGCAAATTAAATTCAAGAAAATTTATATATTTATGGTAAAATTTTATAGAAATTGATACCTTGTTGATAAGAGGGTTAGTTTCAGCAACACGTCGAAGCCCATCATCGGTGATCTTTACACAATCCATGAGAGCTAAAGTTGCGAGCCTGCCATTTGCCTTGGAAGTAACTTTGATCAGAATTTCATCGGTCAACCTTGAGCTCAGAGTCCTATCAACGACGACGTTTAACCATGGCAATACCTCCTCGTTGACTGCATCTCTAAGCAGAACGCAAACTTGACTCATGGCAAGAAGCTCGTATAAAGGAAGGTAAGCCAGGAGAAGTAGCATAACCTCATGGGGCACTGATACTGGCTCTGACTCTGGCTCTGCAACCTGAGTTCTGTATTCAGGCCCTAAGGAACCCAAGTTGGGATCCGCTGAAGATGAAGTTGAAGGTTGATAATTTGACATGGCTGTGAGGAAACTGGAAAGAGGCAGGAAAGCGTACCGTGCTTTTTTGTTCAGAGTTGGACCAACGACACTACAAATATTTAGTCGGCAAGAATGGTTCACGATTACAAGAATATGTACATGATTTTTTGCTTCCTCGCGAAGCAAATTATATCATGGTGTCGTGGTAGTTTTTTTACCGTTAAATTTTTTAGGTATTATTTGAAAATTTATATTCCTCTATAAGTAATATATATATATATATATATATATCAAATTAACTTATAAGTTGTCTTTTTTAACATTTACATCAAATCTTAGCTACATATAGACTTTGGTCTTAGCGGTGTACCTTTTCATTTATTTTCAAGAAATTAAAATTTATGGTTTAGTTTATTTTCAAAAAATTGAAGCTTGAGCTCTGTACTGTTCGTCCAAACTATGAGCATGGATAAAATATAACCTAAATTTAAACTCTAAAAAAAAAATATTCGAGATACTTAGAATTGCAACAGTTAAAAATTTTTTTGACGATAATAATACCAATGGATTTTATTTATTTGACTCATTCTATGGAAAAAAATCATGTAAATTGAAAGTGATAATAAGCATGTTGATCCCATTGAGAACTAGGACTTGGTTGACTTTATAGAGTATAAAAGAAAAAATTAGATATTAGAATGTTTGATATGTTAGTAGAATGGGGATTGAGATGATGGGTTTTGGGAGCCCTAACCATTAACAAATGTTATGTTCTACATTGAAAATTATGTTCTTGTTTATTGTCTTTTCTTATGAAGATACAATTATGATCATGTAGGTCAAAAAATAAATTTTTTGATAATAACGATTGAGTTGCTCTTAAAAAATATTTAATTTGATTTATGATTCTCAATTTAAAAATTTGAGTATCCAATTAACAATCTAAATTTTAATTCATCAACTATAATATATACAATTTTCTACAAATTTTGATGTACCTATGAGATCGAGTATAAAATCTGATTTACTCATTTTAAATTGAGTATTAGTCTCTCTTCTTTTTCTATAAAGTACTGAATTCTACATATTTATATAATTGAGTAATGAAGTTCTAGAAATGATATAAAAAGATGTGTTGTTTTAAATCACTTGACTTATTTGAGAGAGCATGAGTGATGACTATTTTGGCCAGAGAATATAACATAAGAAATTTCGGAGTAAAACCCAGAAGATATTTATCATGTTTATATTGCCATTAATACAAAACAGACAACAATAATATTTATGATGTTGCAATCTATAATTGTATGTTTAAACTTTGAACCATTCTTGAAATTGGTAATGTCATTACCTACAGCAGCCAGTTTAGTATCTTATATATAAAAACCATCATTCAATGTTCCATGGGCTCAACTGCAGTCTTGAAGAGAAGAATATAAACCTTGTCAATTGAAAAATACAAAAATCCTCCCAGAGAATGGGTTACATAAGAACCGAAGCTAGTTCCAACAATGCAATGCCAGGCTGGACCACACGAAGAGTCGAATTCCTGCAAATCACAATACAAACAATTCAGTTTTAACTTAACTGATGGAGGAGAGTTTATTTTTCTTTTCCCTGTCGCGAAAAGATTATAGAAACAAGCGCAGCTTTGCATATGGCAGAATTTATGGAAAGACATCCTAAGGAGTCCTATCAAGAAGGCTGGACTAGTTGCAGATTCTCATGTTAGTTTCCATGTCTTCTTCAAGCTTTTACCTATCATTATAGACAGGCAGCAGAAGAGCTTTTCCACATAAAAATTGGTTAATAATTGAGAAACTTGCAACTAAAATGCCTTGGTGCTGAAAAACAACAAATAGTTTTCCTAAAGTCCTGGTAAACCTAAGGAGTAAAAATTCTGAACAACCTAAACCGTCGGTCAATATTGATATTACTATAAGGACAAAATATAGTACAAGGACGTGTACTTGACATATATTGGGAGGACTTACACATAAACGAGAGAGACTGAAAATTATAGTCTAAAGTTTTGTAAAATTAAGAAGAATGAGCTAATAGAAGAATTAAAAAAGAAAAAGATACGAGGAAGATAACTACGCAAGGATAGGGGTAAAACTTAGCAGTAGCAGAAATGATGAATGATTTTGATCTCATGATAGCTGCTTCAAACTAACAGGAAAAATGGAAAAAATTACGAACAAGAGCATAATAATGTCTACTAATGAGCAAGAACTTCGGGTGCCAAAAACAAAATGAGGGATTTCATTTGCAAAAAAAGCCTAATTACTAGCCTGACTTGGAGTTGAAAGAAAGAAGATTTGATAAATCAACTGAAACCACATTGTCAAAAGGTGTTTACAGTTGCTAATAGATCATATCCAAGCATAAAACTCACAATTTCTGAATTCATAGCAGAGATCAAAACTCCGAAATAGGAAGAAAAAGAAAAGGGAAAGAAACAAGAAATCAGAACTTGATAAACAAAGGAATCTACCTTTTTAAGCGCAAGAGCAAGACGCTTACTGTCGAGCTTGCCAGTCATGGAGTCAAGCTGTTCACGAGCGCACTTGAAGGCACGGTTCTGAAGAGCCAGAGGCATATCAGAGGCCCTTACTCGAACATTAAGCTTATCATTCTGCTCCTTCTGCTCCAATGCTTTCTTCTTTTGGATCAAACCGCTGAGGAACTTGCTTCTCCTCTCAAGCTCCTTCTCTGCTCCCTCCATCTCTCCTTCTCTCCGCTTCTCTCACTCTCTCATCACTCAAAAGAGACGCAGAAAACACAGACTCATCTCTTATTTCTGCTTCTTCTTCAAGATCAACGTGGAAATTGCGAAGTTCTTCAGTGATTCAATGGCAGTCAAAAGACACCTGCACCAGGTGTTCGAGGAAAGTTCTGAAAGAAGAAAAGGAAACAAGGAAAACCAACAAAGAGAAGAAAACAAAAGGGTCCAAATAGTAAGTCCTATTAGGTTTCTTTTTTAGTGTATATATCATTTGAATTTGTGTCTGGCGTATGAAGAGGGTATTGGGTTAGGCGTAGAGGAGACAAATTAGTGTTCTTTGATTAGTGGGAAGCTGCCGACCAAGACAACTTTAAGGAGTATAATATACCTTTTTTTAGCAGAAAAATGGGTAAGTGCTGGTCCTACAATCCTACTTGTACATAGAAGAAAGTGATTTTAGTCTTGAATTAAGAGTTTTTGTGTATTTCATGTTCTTTTGCTTCTTACATATTGGCTAAACAATATGTAAATGCTTCTAGATCAAAAGAAAAGAAAACAAAAAAAAAAAACGACGTTGGAAAAAGTTGGCGTTTGGTGGGATACTGTAGGAAACGACTGTGGGCGTCGATGCTTCTTCAACATTTAATTATTAACTTTGTTCAAATTATTTAATTGATTTTTAACTTCTTTCTTCTTCAATTGGGGAAAAAAAAAAAAAAAAAAAAAAAAAAAAGATTAAATGCATTTGGTCGATCAGGGGGTTTGACTGCGGGTGAATAGTGAAGTTAGTCCGTGAAGAAGATAAAGGGCGCGGGACCCAGGAGGAGGAACTAAAACGGTGCCGTTTGCGAAGGCCCATTCACTTTCTTGCGTTAAAAACCGGCAATTGCGGGGAGATGATCTAGTGCGTCCGTCTTGAACGCCTGTCATACGTAATGATATCCTAAAACAAGTTTGTTAAGGATTATTACTGTGGTAATCGTCAAATGATAGAAGTATAAAATGTTTTATTTTTCCTATTCTCCTCTCCAAGTTACACCATATGAGAAAGAGGCTTGGCTCTAATTACGAAGAAAGGTGTAATAAAATTATTAATTGAAATTTTACAAAAAGGAAAAGAAGTGATAATGGAGGTAAATGTAATGACAGTAGTTAACGTGATGATGGTAAGAACTTTAATTTTAGCTGAGCTAATTTTAAAGTGTAAAAAACTTTTATATTGCTTATATTAAAAAAAAAATTAGTCTAATTACATATTTGGATTAACTGATATAACAATTAAGTTATTCGTTACATATTATATCAAAATTTATATTTATTATAATTGTTTCATAAATTTTATTTTTAACCCAATTGAATTGAGTTATCAATTAATAATTATAAAGTTTGTTAGTCATATTTTGATCTTATTGTAGTAAATAAGTTTCTTAAAATTAAATTTAACTAGTTAAAAGTTTTTTTTAATGGATAACCACTTTAATTTAATTTTTGTAAAATGCTTTTATAGGAGTAGACAAAATTTTGTATAAGATTCTTATATGAAACATATATATTCTCTAAAGTAAGATCACACCTGTATTTTACAATATAAGTACTTAAAATCAGTATAATAATATAATATTTTATTAATCTTTTATTATCATATCGTATCCAAACTCTAATTCAAATTCTAGAAGAACATTTCCAGCAGCACACAGTTCAAGTTCTACATTAATCTGGTCATGCCAACTTCCACCACAGGGGCCCTAGTCACGACCACCACATGACTCATTTGCTCCATATTTGCGTTCCACCCTTTTACAAAGAAGCAAAAAAATAATATAAAAATACAATAAATATTACTTAATTATCATTAGTTAATTACTTCAATAAAAGGATTAAAGAATTAATTAATTACCAATTGACATGTTAAACCCTCGATTTTGAAGTTCGCGATACTGCTGGGTGAGAGCGCATAACTCGCAGCAACAATGAGCCAAACAATCTTCACACGCATTTCCTTTAAGCTCATACTCCTTTCTCATCTTGCTACGGTAACAGTAAGAATACAAGCATGCACATCCCGTCAAAACAGCTAGTATTGCGTACAGAGCTCCACTTGTTTGACAAGCTGTATGTTAATTAATTATTAAACAAAATTAATTATCATTAATCTTCAAAAATTAATTACTTTTACTTACTTGTGGATCCTCGATCGACAATCTCAGCTATCCGGCCAAATGTAATGCATGGACACCAACACGTAAGGCAACCTAAAGTAAAACGATCACGTATTTTTAAAATTTTAATTAAGACCCACAAGCAATTTTCATAAAATTAAACCGAGACAAGAATTAATTTAGGTTTGAAGAAATAAAATTCAAATTGCTGACAGTTTGGGACATCAGAGCAGCAATCAAAGAAGCCAGTGGACCATTCTTGCCCCCTTGCAGGCTGAACACTTGGGTCTGAAGACTGCATGCTGAGAGAATTTTATTTTATAATTCTAAAGGAAAGAAAGAAAACTCACACTTTCTAATAACACAAATGTGTTATACATACATACATATATATATATATATATATATAATGCTTGGTGCTTGGTATTTCGACCTTCTTACATGTGGTTATAGTGTATAGAAATTATTTTAATTCATTTTATAAATTGTTTTTCTTTTTTTAATAATACTCCAATATCAAATAATGATAAGTGAAAAACTAAATACTCCAATTCGTTATTTACAAGTCCATAAATTTAATCATTTTTCGTTTTGTTTGTATGAAAAATATTTGTATTAATTTTTTTTAGACAAAATATTTAGTAAATTTACAAAATTAAATAATTTCTTTAATCAAAAGTCATCTTGTTGATATATGGTCCCTCACAAAATTTAAAAGTCCACGTGTAACTTGGTGATTGGTTAAGCAGTGATGATTCATGGATTGATTGCAAATTGCTGCACAAAATAATAATTAAAAAGATGAAAGTCAATTAATTAAGAGGAAACATTAAAATCTATTAAAAGTGGCAATTATCTCTTTCAAAATGATTTGAAGTTAAATGTGTTTGAGAAACCATATTGGGACTAATGACATACGTCAGAGAGAATCAACACAAGAGCTGACTTTTCTAGGGTTTTGACCAACACTTGTCCTCGTTAGTGTTAATCTTCAACGAGACAATGGCCATGGAAAGGTTGCAAAGGAAGATAAGCCAGCTGTGTTAACTTAAAAAGCCTGTAGAAACATGATGGTGAAGTCCCCGTCAAAAAAGCAAAAGCTAAAAAAGAGTGTATAATATAAAAGCACTTACTGTGAAAAAAGTACTTATTGTACAAGGGCATGCTTAATGTAATAATGTTCTTCATTATTGTTCCTAGTCTCATGATTTTGTCATTTCACTTAATATCCAAAAGGGTATGGTTAGTGTTAATGCTTTTAATTATGCTTACACTTAATAATTATAATTTAACTTAACTATACAGTTGGTACTTCTATATATTTATGAATATGGTTGTCATTAGATTAAATAAATAACTTTGATGTGATGAATTGAAAATATTTTGGTATGTCTATTTTAATTTTTTAAAATCACTTTATCTAATAATTGATATTTTATTTTCGTATATATCTATTATCTATTTAATCATTTTGAATATAAAAATGTAACAATATTTTTATAAATATGATTTGTGATTGATGTATTTTGAACTTATTTCGTAAGAGTCATTCCTATAAAATAATAAGAAATTTTTTTTCTAAATTTTAATTTTTCCACAAAGTACTTAAAATTATTGGAATTGTTTATTGAATTGAGGAGATTATTCAATAAGAAGTTATCATCAAATCAAGAGATACAAGAGCACATGATTTTAGCTACTTATTTTTCTTTCTTTAATCTTCATTTATAATTTTTTTTTCATAATATTTGTCTATTAGTTAACTTAATGATTGTGATTATCATAAATACACATTCATATTTGATGTGTTTTACAGTTTTAAAATTGTTATCGTTACACTAATATTTATTTTTGTGCAAGATTATGCCTCTAATTTCATTAATAGTAACCCTAATTGGTATGTCCGATACATTAACTGCCCGACTAACAAGTTAATCTCCTATTTGATTGTTTTAAATTTATTAACTACATTCTTAGTTAAATTACTATGTATTTTTGAACTATACATTTTATTAAAAGTTACATAGTTGTTCCATAAATAAAAATCAAAACTATATTTTTCTGATTGAATTGTAAATACAAAATAATTTGTACAACTAAATCAAGATTATTAGTTAATTACAAGTACCCTAAAGTGTTGAAACTCAAAAGTGTGCTTGTTATTTTGAATATAAATTCAAATTCAAGTAAATATTCTATATGAATTAAATGATTGAATTAAACATAACGGTTAATAGTAATATATTTTGAATTTGACGTTATAGGATTCAAAAAATATTAGATAAAGTTATTTGAAGCATTAAAATTTACAATTTTATTTATAAACCTAAATACAGCTTCAATTTAACTTAATTCTCAAATATTTAAAGTAACACAACAAGATATTTATTATACAAAATGAAGAAATATTTTCTACTTAAAAACCATATGCGTTAAATATTTAATATTAATGAAATATATATATATCAACACCACCATGATTTTGTACTAGTAGTGTTAGTATATGAATAGAACTAGATAAATAAATGTCCGTAGTAAGTCAATTTTAGGCTCATTACATGGACCTCAAATAAAAAACTAACGGTTAAGCACCCACTAGAAGCAATTATTTCGAAATTTGGAAACATCCCTCAAGGATTTACAGATAGTTGAAGAAAAATTAATTATCGAAATTCAAATGTTGTAAGTAAATCCATTTAGGGTGAATCTATACATAAAACCATATACCAATATCTAAACAGGACAGTACGTACGAGAAAGTGTATCCTAAGATCAAAAAGACATATTTCCTGCATAGCCCAATCAAAGTTTCACTAATTAGCATTTACTCCTCGAAGCCCAGTTTCCTTTGTTTGGCCCAATACCCAGTCCTATGGTCTAGTTACATGAAGAAAAACGTCGCCGTTTTCAGCTCGAATATAATAAAGAAAGAGAGAAGAAGCCAATGAAATTGGCGAAACTAAAAGAACTGAAAGGGGGTTTCTGGGTTTTCTTGGGGAGAGAACAAATAGAGGGAGAGCTAAATGGAAAATTTTGAGAGGGAAGGTTTTTGGGTTTTGGGGTTCAAAGAAGAAAAACAAAAGGGGGTTTTCCAACGAGAGTCCAATTTCTCTCTTAGAAATATCGTATGGCTCATTCAATTATCTCATCATTTTTCATTTCCCTTTTCCATTATTTCCTCTTTACTTCTCTTTTTCCTCCATTTTCTTGCTTAAACAGACTATGGATGATTTTGGATTTTTCAGATAAACAAAACAAATTTAGTCAAGAGCCTTAATTATTTGATTGGAGCAACAATACAACATATAATTACTGATCATAACAAAGTTCATATATGTACATATACATATACATATATACATCTTAATGACCCCTAGTACAGAAATTGAGGTACTGTTGCAAATTCTGCTTTATCTGCTCATGCCTTCCTCTACCACCGGTGCCACAGAACCATTCATTTCCACCTCCCTACTCTGTTTCTCCATGTTTCCATGCCACCCTTAATTAAGGGTCAATTAACAACTAATATCAGACAACAAATTAAATAATCACCATAACCCAAAAGAAACTTAATCCCTCCCAAAAAGAAACCCAGAAAGTAGAAAACTGAAACTAGTGTCATACATGAAGATAAATATATATACCTATAGACATGTCATATCCACGGTTCTTGAGCTCACGATACTCTTGGCAGAGAGCACAGTACTCACAGCAACAATGAACACAACAATCGCCACATGGGCTCTCCTTCAACATGTACTGCTGCCTCATTTTTGTCCGATAGAAACATGAATAGCAGGAAGCACATCCAACCACGCATGCAATTAACGTGTATAATGCTCCGTTTACACCACATGCTGCAAAACCCACCTTGAATCATCAATTCCGATATAAAAGATTTTCCTTTTTCAATTTACAGATCATGTTATGTTTATAATGTTATTTCAAGTTACTTACACGATGATCCCTTGTCTATAATCTCCGCGATCTGGCCAAAAGTGATACATGGGCACCAACATGTTATGCAGCCTGCCAAGAAGCGTTAATCGTAAACTAATTGCAAGATCGAGCTTGCGAATTGGAATATAGTGATATAGGTTTCTTTTTTTAGCTTCCACTTACAGTTTCGACAGTCGGAGAAGCAGTCGCAGAGACCCGTTGACCATGGACGCCTAATTTTGGGCCTGGCAGGAAGGACGGCTGGTTGTCGTTTAACATCAGGAGCACCGTAGTATGAACTTGTGGAGTTCACTGGAAAACCATTGGTTGCGGTGGTGTTAGTGTCGGTGGATTCAGAAAAAAGAGGTGAGGAAGCAAGAGGACGGGCCGCCATGAACTTCTCGTGACTGCGCGCCTGTATTTTTGTTGATTTACAGAAGAAAACAAGATTTATAATAATAATATCTCTATATCTATCTTTACTTGCATGTATGTATTTGTTGTTTATAAGAGATGGTCTTAAGTTGAAGATGAAGACAAAGAGAAAAAAAGAAAAAGAAGAAGATGATGATGAGAAAGTTCGTGGAGATTATTGGAGAAATGGAGTGTAAAATATCAGTGACAGTGAACGAAGCGCAGTTTACCGAGTCAAGGGCAGCCATGATTGGAAAAGTCAAGGCGCGTACTATTCACTTTCTTCGTAACTGCAAGGAAGATCCATTGCCGTTTCGAAAGTTGATTGGGAAAGCTGAGCCAATCCTTGCACCAATAAAAATATGACACGTCAGCCGCTTATCCTCCCAATCACTAATTTTTTTTTTCTTAATTCCCAAAGCTCAGAATTTGGTAGTTTACTACTTCAGTCGGATTCTTCTTCTTCTTCTTCTCATCTTTTAGTGGATTATTAGCTGCAGTTTTTGGTTCCAGTGTGCTAAAGAATTTTGTAATTAAAGGAAGAAAAAAGAAAATAATTTTAGTTTAATATACATAAATACATAAGTATGTGTCATATGTTTTTGGGAAATTGTTCTAAATTTTTTAAAATTATCATCACTAAATTTATTAAAGATATATTCAGATTTTAAATATTAAATTCTATTGATATTTTATAATTTATTTTTAAATGTAAATAAATTTTAATATTTTACCACTAACATGAAGAAAGAAAGAGGGATGTTGACCGATGAGCTTATGGGTGATGTGATGGGAGTGGGAACACCCTATAACGCCTCCCATCCAGACACGCCGAGTGGGACAACGATAAGCGACAAGATTTTAAAGACTTCAAACGTCCAGTCAACAAGTCAACGTAAAAGTATTCAGATAAAAAATTGAAAATTTATGAAAAAGTTTTGAAAGGTCAATTTTTAAAATTAAATAAATTTTGGACTCGTATAATTTTGTTCTAATACTAATTTTTTTTTTTTTCTATTTAACAAACATTCTTTAATGTTTTATTTAAATTATAAAATTATATAGATAATTATTATATTAATTAATTAATTGAGTGCGGAGATCACAATATCACTCAAACGTAGGGATGATAAGTATTAATTTTTATTTATAGTTTGTGCATCTGTTATTATTATTAAATATTACAATGATATTATTTATAATAACAAAAAATCACCAGCATTACAATATAAATTTAATTTATCGCTGGCAAGCATCCAATAAACAAGTGTACGGACACAAATTAAATAGAAAATAAAAAATTTAATGCATATATTGGCTGAATTAACATAATAATGGAGCACTTGAGAAATTATTTATTAATCAAATCTCATTCAAATTTCATCTTACAGACCTTTATTTTCACAGAAGAAGGCAATATTTTCAATAACATAAATTCAACAACACAAAAATCTTAAAATTAAAAGAAACAAACAGAAATTCTACTAGGCAATTAATCCGTATTTATTTGGTCATTCCACCTTCCACCACCGGGGGCCTAGTCATTGCCACCCCACGACTCTGTTGCTCCACATTTGCGTTCCACCCTTTTTTTTCAAGAAGAAAATTAAATTAGAATAGTACTTAAAAGCAATAAATTAATTACTTCCAATTATTAAAAATAAAGGATTAATGAATTAATTAATTACCAATTGACATGTTATATCCTCGATTTTGAAGTTCACGATACTGTTGGGTGAGAGCACATAACTCGCAAAAGAAATGAGCCAAACAATCTTGACAATCATTTCCTTTAATCTTATACTGCTCTCTCAACTTGGTACGATAGCAGCAAGAATACAAGCATGCACACCCCGTCAAAACACCGATTATAATATATAGAGCTCCAGTGGTTCCGCAAGCTGTGCATGTCAATCAATTGTTAGACAAAATTAAAAATCATTATTAATAATTAATTTACTTTACTTACATGTTGATCCTCGATCGACGATTTCAGCTATTCGTCCAAACGTAATACACGGGCACCAGCACGTAAGGCAACCTAAAGGGTAAAAAAATAATAATAATAATAATTTTTAACATAGATTTTTAGTAACTAATCTGAGAAAACATTTAAGAAACAATAAAATTAGAATTACTGACAGTTTGGGACGTCGGAGCAGCAATCGCAGAAGCCAGTTGACCATTCTTGCTCGGTTCCAGGCTGACCCGACTTGCCATGAGCATTTGGATTTGAAGACTGCATGCTCATAGAGTAAATCTAACAAAAGAAACTCACCGTTTTGGATAACACAAAGCGTTTTGTATATGTGTGGTGTTTGGTCTCTCGATCTGGACGCATATTTATAGTGTGTGGAAGATATTATTATTAGAATTTGTTTTTTTCTGAATTAAAAATAATAATCTAAGATCGGATAATAGCAAGAGAAAATGGAAAAATACACCATTTACAAGTCCAAGGCCGCCTTTCTTAATGTAGTAGGATGAGACAATTTTTTTTTTTTTTTTTTTTTTTTTCCTTCTTCTTTTTGATAATGCGATGACTAAGTGATGGGTTTCAAATTGCTGAATTAAATATCTAAAAAGTTAGAGGTGTTAATTAATGCGTCATAAATACCTTAAGCCCACTGAAAACTGATTTATTTATTTTGTTTTTATTTATTTATTTCGCATTTAATATATTAAAATTTATTTATATGAATAAAATTTCAATTTTATAATGAGAGCTCAAGAATAACAACTGTTATGCCCAAATAGAGGTGTAATACCCAAATTAAATTTAATATAATTTAAAATTACTTTATAAATATAATTTTTTAATTTTTTAATTTTAATTTAATGTAAAAATAAAGAAAATTAGGTGAATGATGAACTTGAAATAATTTTCAAAAAAAGAGTGAAAATTTAGGTTCTAAATTTATTTTTTATAAAAAAAAAATCAAAAACTAGGGTCAAAACA